CATAAATGAATTACCATGATACAGCCAATTGTAGCAAATATCAGTGGAAATTCAATTATTTTACCTTCAAGGTCAATGTCATAAAAAGCCAAGGTCAATTTAAATTTATACATGAAAGTCATATCCTAAAGAATGTTGTGTTATAATATGAAGTGAATCCATTTATCATTAACAAAGTTATAGCCAGTTACAGCCCCCCCCCCCCCACACACACAAAAAATAAATAAATAAAAATAAATTTTCTATAATTTGACCTTCAAGGTCAATGTTATTTATGAGTGAAGATCAAGGTCTGTCTGGTTAACTCGAAGGTCTATCCTAAAAATATTATTATGTTCAAGTTTGAAGACAATCCATTAGAAAATAACAAAGTTATCTAATAGCAAAAATCAGAAGAAAAAAAAATAGCAAAATTTAGACATTTGACCTTGGAGGTCAAGGTCATTTATAAATGAAGGTCAAATTTAGTCTTGTCTACTTAAAGATCTTGCCCCAAGGTTGTTGTGGGCAAGTTTGAAGACAAAACATAAAGAAGATTAAAAGTAATGATCACAGTTAAAGTTTGCTGACGGAAACGTCAACACCGACATGACTGTAACAATACCTCTATTCTTTTAATTATTTTTTTTTATATTATCTATTTTTTATTATATTTTTTTTTTAAAGTCGAGCTTTACATGTTGTTTTCTTTAAAATCAGTCATTATAATTATTTTTTTTTATTAAAAAGAGAGAAAAGAAATTGTATCAAGTATTTTTAAAATCAAATTTTTTCCCGTATATTTTTCGTAATTATTTTTTGTTTTTATCATCAAAAAATATAATTATCTTAAAATACATATTAAAACTGCATTTAAGGAACACGATTAATACAAGAATGAAAAGAAAGAACTTATTGCTAAATTTTAACTGCCAAAATTCAAGTAATATAAAGTAAATTATAATTTTCATATTTTTGGCGGCCATCTTGGACGCCATCTTGAATTTCTTAGTCCGCCAGCACTTTCGGGGAAAATGAAATTCAATTTCGTAATCTAGGGACTCTACCGAACATTTTGGTATATGAAACCCTCTGTTTATGATCGGGGACCAGTTAGGTGTTCCTAAGCTTAACAAATTTGCAGCACTAAATAATATGACAAGGTTTATAAATATAGCATCCATATTTCAGAATTATCTCCTTAAACTTTGAATTTTTCTTATTTATTCTTTTAACTTCTTTTATTATCAACACCTTCATTAGTAATTGATCTTTGTTACACTCACATCATGTATGACGTCTTGCATCTTTATTATACCCCCACCACAAAATGTGGGGGGGGGGGCTATAATGGATTCGCTTTGTTGCGTCCGTCGGTCGGTTGGTCCGTCTGTCTCCTTTTACGTGTCCGCTCTATAAATCCTATACCAATTAAAGGAATTTCTTCAAACTTGGCTCAAATGTTCACCTCAACAATGTCGGTAACGAACAACTGTGAATATTTCAGCAGTAAAAGAAATACATATCTAGGTTATGATAATTTTAGAGATAATGATCACTTTGTTATTAACATTATATTTATTAACAGATGAAGTTGAAAAATTAAACCAATGCAAATGAATAAGACCTATACTTAGCAAATTCCGAATATAAAAAAAACATGCCGCCTGATTCGCCAATACTTTATATATTATTTCTCACCTTAACATTGTAAATTCCATTTTTAAAACAAATTTATGTCAACTTCATTTTGTCAGGTGAACAGTTTCAATGTCTAAATTTAGAATGACAGGTGAGTTAATTTACTATTACAGGCATATGTCTTTTTTGTATAACTAAACACGTGGGTATGAATTTGTATTAACGGAGTAAATTCCCAACGATACATGAAACATGGTACTGCATGCTAAAATGTTGGAACCATATACAAAACATATTGATTAATATGTGTTTATTTGCATATCATCATGTTGTATTTATAATACCTTGAATGGAAAAAAAAGAAGGTTTTTGTCTGTCTGGCTGTTGTTCTCTATAACGAAACAAACGAATAGGCCACGTTTTCGAATGTTAAGGATTCAATTCAGTAAAGGCCTGAATACATAAAAACAATGAGCGATATTTTTTAAATAATTTTCTATTTAATTTCAAAGTACGTGTATTTGATTCTTTTGTTTGTAATGTAATGCTAATTTGTATCATTTTTAAGCTAAACCCTTTGTTTTTGAATATTTAAAATAATCAAGTTAAAGACTTTTAGGATGGTCCAAGGCTTTTAAATGTTAGTTTTTATAGCTTAATAATATCATCCCCCCGATGATATGTAAGACATTGTGTTAATTTTATCTGTTGCACGAGCTTGTGCATTTATAAATCTATATTTTCAGCAATGTTTAACTATACTATTTCCTGCGTAATATAATTGTATAGACAGTATTATTAAACATTCAGATTATAGCAGCCACTCGACTCCAGATGGTAAAATGAAAGAAAAAATGAAATAAATAAGTAAACGGGAGATAATGATCTTGTTAGATTTAAAGTGTAAATCCATTATTACTGACATCTGAATTGAAAAATAAATGTTGACAAAAGTGTAAATATATCGTGATTCTTCTTTGCATAATTAACTGCGTAAGTAACACAGTAGACAATATAAATATAAGAGACAATTTATTCAACATGATCACGTGTCACAACAGTGGTTAGGTAAAATCCCAGTGGGATCAATGTTCGTAAATGATCAGTCCCTTATCATAATTTAAGGTAAAGTTAAAATCGATGTACTGGTCATCATATATAATATGATTTATCTATTATAATATTTAGTGCAACAAATTAATACAGATATCAAAACCACAGCAGTTTATTCGTTTCCCTCTATGTTTGATACGATCATGTATTCGAAATAATGTCCTGTTCATCACGTAGTACTGGAAGAGAAAACCCGGATGAAAAAGGTATCCTTCAACTACTTCGTGTAATGAGGTACTTGAAATATTAGTATCTGGAGGCGTGCTGCTTTAAGGAAGCATTCACTACATGTTCGTGGTTGAACATGGTTGATGTTTGGATATATTCAAACTCTTTTGTAGCCATTTAAAAAGCGGCTGACCGTAAGCACGAGCAACAACGACGCGTGCTCATGTAATGCACGTTTTCTCTATGTTAATGTACAAATGCATACCCTGTTTTTATACAATACCAAGTCTTTTAGTACAGGGCAAAGTTTCCTAAGTAAATCTTTAACAAGCAAGTTTGTAAGTTATCATCATTTTCTATTGATATCAATTTTAACCAATGTCTTAAGGTATTACCATCCTAATGCATTACCTCCGCTTTGAAGAGTATTCAATAGGCTAGAACTACTGTTAACTACATTGAAAATGAGGGCCGTGGGTTCAATCCCCAGGAGGGTCAAATTTATTTCTTTCTTTTTTTCTTTTAACATTATTTATGTATCTCTCATGTCCCATTTGGAAAGAAGAAAGTGTTTAATTTTGATTTTTTTAATTTATATAGGTATTTATTGGCTAAATTATGCTAAATCTAGTAATATATATGGTACCTGATATTTTCAAAGTGTAATAAAATCAAAACTAGACGGTAAAAGTGTTTCATATTTTACAAGATCAACCAATATACTTCTTTAAAAATTTAGGGAAACTTTGAAAACAGGCACTCATTTGGGTAAATTTTAAGGATTTTTTAAATTAGGCTCCCTAAGTAGGAAAATGGTCAGACACGTGGTAAAAATGGGTGGAGTAGGGTAACATTTTTATACAGATGTCATAAATTTTAAGTAGAAACCATTATTTTGCTTATGTGGATTGTTATCTAAATGGTACTATTTGTTTCTTACCAAAAATTAATGGTAAAACATTTTTCATTAGAATGTTATTGCAGATTATTTAAAGGTTCCTCATTTCTAAAAAAGGGCCCTCATAACACCCTAGCTTGAGTTCAGAAAAGTTGCCATAACTTGATTTCCGTTCGGTAAACTTTGTTTAAATTGTGCATACAGGTGTAATTTAAGGTATATATCTGACCTATGATGTCAATTTTTTAGTTCCTTATAGTGCCCATTAGGGTCGTAATACCTTAAGGTAGAGCCGGAGCGACCTTGTTGTTTTTCATACCAGATTTGGATAATTTTCAAAATTCCCTGACATTTCTCTGATATATACCAAATTTTCAAATTCCACACCTTTTACCTGCAGATAATTTATTTTCATTTTAGCCTCTTTCCCTGTGTTTTGTAACCACCAATGTACCTGTACGTACACAATACAAATTTGATTTACTCTAAATAGTTTGTTTGGTTAAAAAATATAATACTTGCAAATTGTTGATATAAAAAAATACTTGTACATAAGTTTGTTCGATACCAATGTAATATACTACTATCTGGAATAAAGAGAGAAAGCGAATTCGTATTTGTAAATAATGAGCAATGTAAGCAATGCATCAATTCATTCAGCGATGTTTCTTCAAATATGTAAAGATTGTATATGAGTGAAATGTTTAGTTTCTCTCACAATGAATTACGCAATTTACGCTCAATCGCTCATAAAGATCTTTTGAAAAAGTATACCTCATACTTATTATTTAAAGGATTCTTTTTCTTATTTCAGTATTTACGTTTGGAACAAATTTCCTATAACAATCAAAAATGACTTAACAATCTTTCAAAAAACAGCTGTAAAATTATTTTCTAAGTTTACAGTGTTAGATACATGATGAAAATTGACCACCTTATATTGTAACTGTTGTACATATGCTGATATCATCATATTTGTTTTAATCATTACAAGTTTATCTATAATTACTATGATTAATATCAGTGTCAGTCGGATGAATGAATGAAAATATCTAACCTTTACATTCTAGAATATATTTCACTTTTTTTGTACAAAAAGATTTTTAAATTTTGTATATATCAGCATTTTTTTCTTTGTTATTGTTAAATCAAAAAGCCGTACTGAAAATAAATATACTTCTTACTATGTAAACTTTGTATGTAACCTTCTATAAGTAAAGATTTTATTGTTATTATTATTTTTATATTACACAATATCAATAAAGAATGGCGACATTAAATGAACACATCCCACAACACAGGATCACCAGAAAGGAGCCCAGGTCTGGGCACATGGTCGAGATGTCGTTATAAAATAGGAAATTCATCATGTAATACTCTATTTTTGATGCACTTTCTTGCAGCAAATATATACAGTACACCCTACGCAGTGTTGAAGAGCTGTGCCGCTATACTTTTTGTATCAGTACACCTGAGAAAGAAGATAAGTCATCACCAGACAATCGATCTAATTCATTGAAAAACATTCCCCCAACCCAAACATTGTCACCTTTTCGTACCAACGCAGCTGCGCTAAAAGATGTACATTTTGGATCAGTAGCTTTATTCGTGTTATTCGGGACATTAAACTCTCCGGTTACAATCTTACTACCTCGAACCTTTATGTGGTACTCTATTTCTGGTGTACTTTTCTTGCCGCAAATGTGTGCTGTAAACAGATAAATCCCTTCAGTTGGCGCTGTGAAAAACCCAGTAAATTTGTTGTAGGCGTCGCCTTCGTTCAATAAAATATTTGAGAATTTAATTGGTTCCAGACCCGCGTAGTTTATTGCATCCATAACATTAAATGCTACTGTCTCTGAAATATGTTTAAATATGTTTTTGAACTTAGAGATTTTTTTTCAACCACAAGGAATTCATGGCAGTCAAAATGTGTAGAGTAATGCATTTTAAAAATATCACACATCCAAGAAACACAAATAATCTAAAAGAATGTTAAACCATGCAAATAAAATTAATTTAAACAATATATAATCCACTGTTGTCAACATACATAACATATAATTTCTTTTTCACATGAATATTCATAATCAAATATTTATTGCAAAAAAGTATATAAAAATGAATAGATAATATTGGTATAAAACAGAGAACTTATATATTCAATTCAAGAAATTAGTTTTGATTATAGTCCTAAGATGTTGTGACTGGTAAATTTTTAAAACTTTTTAGATGTATGAAGAATAAGGTATGTAACAAAACTAAAAATTTAAAATGAAAAAAATAGACTAACGTGTTTTTTTCTCCGTTGTCTGATCCAACTCTTTAATTTGCTTTTCCAAAGCAGCAAACTTTTGCGACAGGTCTGAAAATCTATTATTGCAACTAGCTTTCACTTCATCTGTAGCTGCCTTTAAACTGGAGGTACTGTTCTCGAGGTCTTTTTTAATGTTTTCAACAACTACTGTCATGCCTTTCATGCTCTCTTTTACAAGAAAAGAAAGAAAGAAAACAATGCATCGTATGTGATATGTGTTTATAATCCATTTTAATTTTTTATATTTGGACTTCACACAAAGTAGATATGTTATGTTTTAAACTCTTCACACTATAGGTGGTCACAGTATAAATATAATGACAATGTCATTAAAAAACCTTTTCTTATAGAACAGACCAATTTTACTTGGCCTATAATAGGATATGCAGCTTCCCATACATAGTTTATTCATTCTTTTATCCTAATTAGACATTCTCAGTAAGAATTTTATAAATTTCAAAATTTTCTATGACTCAAAGATGAAATAATGAAAAAACAACTAATGTTGGAATGTGTACATAATTATGTTATGCAAAAGAGGAGAAAGTCTTAATGTCATGACCTGTTTATGATGTGTAAATATCTTTCAGCTCTAGAATTCGGACACAATATTGCATCATTGTAAGGTCAGTTGTAGGTCATTAACAAGGAAAAACAAATAGGCAAAAAGACCTTACTAACAAAGATGAGTTTGTATGCTCATTTTTTTTATTGAATTTTTGTTAAAGATTGTATTTTTCAATTTTTTGTTGAATTTGATTTAAACTTGGAGAAAGCACATTTCAATAAATTTTGGGACATACTGTTCAACCGGAGTTTCATGTGCATAATTAAATTTTGGCATCAGTTGAGCTGTTTTTGATATTTTTGAAACCATTGCACATACTTTCTTGTTTTTATGTACAGAGACTTGAAATTTGGAATGAATGTTCAGAGACTTGAAATTTGGACCAGGAATGTAATTTCTGATGCGAATTGAATTAAGATATCAACTGATTACTTTTGATATTATTATTTGATATTGTTTGACCTAGTTTGTCGTTTTTTGATGTACCTGCTGGAAATTTGGACAAGGGGTTTAATTTCTGATTCTGAATTGAATTTTGATATGAACTGGCCTACTTTTGATATATTTGATCTCGCTTTACCTACTTTTTTGTCTTTTATTTACAGACATGAAATTTGGACAAGGGGTGTAATTTGTGCAATTTTTGATGTCGAATTCGATTTTGATACCAGCTGACCTATTAAGGTATTATTTACACCATTTGACCAACTTTCTTGTATTTTGACAATCAGATTTTAAATTTGAACCAGGTTTAAAAATTCTGATGTCAAAATGAATTTTGATATCAACTGACCTACTTTTGATATTTTTGATATAATTTGACCTTCATTCTTGTGTTTTTTGACATACAGACTTGAAATTTGAACTAGGGGTGTAATTTCTGATGCTGAATTGAATTTTGATATCAACTGGCCTAATTTTCATATTTTTTTACAATGTTTGACTTATTGGTTTTTTTTGAGGTACAGTTATGTTACCATACAGAATGTATAAAAAATTGTTGTCCCAAACTGTAAACTTCAATCATCTACTCCTTACATGTTTTGCATGTGACATTTTGTGTTTTCATTCAAAAAAGTTATATATAAATTGTCCAGTCAAAATTAATCCTGCTCTAATGGTCATTTATTCTGCATTTATTCTACATAGTCTCATAGGAACACACTTGCAATATACATATTTTTAACGAAGCCTTTACAAAATATAAGGGCAAAATATTTCAATTCATATAGTGAATAATTAAATGATGGGTAAGATGAGTGATCTAGTGCCATCTTAGTGGCTCTATTGTTATTATGAAGAAAAAAAGCTACAACAATCAGGTTTGTAAAAGTATATTACTAGAGGGGCAAGTTAAAGTTGAGCTGAACTTGCCAAAAGAGCTGGACTTGCCTTTCAGCAAGTTCTTTTGAAAAATAATTTCACTGAAAAGCAGTTTTTTCTGGTGAGCGACTCAGGGCCATCATGGCCCTCTTGTTATGATGTTGTTTTAAAGCTAGATTTAACTTAACATATATATTGTAACGGGTATCAGTCAAGCGACTAAATATTCTTACTTCTGTCACACAGCTATATGATATTTTTATTTTTTCTTTGCACTGAAACTTGTTATTTCGCTGAAACATGTTATTTCAAATAATAATATAACACTTTTTACTTTTAAAAAACTAAATTGAAAGAAGAATGATATTGCGTTAGGAAAATCAGAAAGGTAATAATTAAAGGTCGGATTGAACATTATAAATATGCTCATTTAGCGCATCCATTTCATTGAAAATTTTAAAAAATCAACAAGTCTTTGTATGAATTTTAATGTTTGACGCAAGAATATTGTTAGTTTTTATATTTTTTGAAAATCGACATCTTTTAACGTCAACAAAGTCATTGCGTTTAACTAACCATTTATTTTATATTTAACATTACATAACATAAATTTATTGTGCATAAAATTCTTTTATAAAGTTTATAGCAGAAAAAGAGATATTAATGTGACAAGTACATGAAAACGTGTTTTCAGAAAGAAAACAAGTTAAATTGACTTTAAGAATACAGAGTATTTTTCACATTTTAATAAATTTCAGTGAACATGTATTTATTTTATCATGCCAGCTGTTGTTTCCAAATTAATAACAAGAGTATAATATGGGGGTATAATATCAAATTATGAAATTATTTTTCTATTGGCAAAACATATATATTTCGATTAATTACAAATAGAGTGTTCAGCTGTTGAGTTCAATAATTACATCAAATTTATGTATAAAAGGCCAATGACTAAAATACTGTCGAAACTATTTTGTTCTCAATTCGCGATATTTAGGACATACAAAAACATGAGCTGTCACAGGAGACAGCGAAGCTCGACTAATAAAATACTGGACGCAGTAAGGAAGACAAAACTATGAAAGAAAAATAAATTATGTATATTTATATATTAGTTATAGTAAAAAAATAACAATGTTTACATAAATTCCAAGATCAAGGGAATAATTCTTGAAATAGTCATGCTAGAGTTATGAACATTGTCACATAACATGTGTGTAATGATGAGAAATATATATTTGAAGTTTGAAGTAGATACATTAAAAAGTAAAGCGGTTATAATATTTCATAAAGAAAATCCTAAGTTCAAAGAGAGATAAAATCTGTATTGCTTCAAGAGTTTTGAATCTTGTCATATAAAATGTCATTGATGATAAGGAATAAGTATTTGAAGTTTGAGGTAGATACCTTTAAAACTAAAAATGTTATAGTAAAAAATAACATTTTTCAAGTAAAAAAATCTAAGTTTATGGGGAGATTATTCTTGCAATATTGGTGCTAGAGTTATGAACCTTGTCACATAACATGTGGTAAATGATAAGGTATATATATTTGAAGTTTGAAGTTCATCCCTTAAGAAATAAAGAAGTTACAATAAAATAGTATATTTTTAAGGAAGATTCTAAGTTCAAGGGGAGATAAATCTGAAAATATTGGTGCTAGAGTTATGAACCTTGTCACATAAGATGTGATTGATGATAAGGAACATTTATTTGAAGTATGAATTTATACCTTAAGAAATAATAAAGTAACAGTAAAAATAATATTTTTAAGGAAAAGTCTAAGTTCAAGGGGAAATAAATTTGAAAATATTGGTGCTAGAGTTATGAACCTTGTCACATAAGATTTGGTTGATGATAATGAACATTTATTTGATTTGTGAAGTTGATTCCTTAGGAAATAAAGAAGAAACAGTAAAAAATAGTTTTTTTTAAGAAAAATTCTAAGTTCAAGGGGAGATAAATCTAAAATATTGGTGCTAGAGTTACGAACCTTGTCACATAAGATGTGGTTGAGGATACGGAACATATATTAGAAGTTTGAAGTTGATACCTTAAGAAATGACAAAGTTATAGTGAACATTTTTTTACTGCACCAAAACTTTAATCTGAAATCTGGACGCGGACGCGGAGCCGACGCCGGGGCGAGTAGGACAGCTCTCCATATACTTCGTATATAGTCGAGCTAATAAAGTAAAATTCAGTTTCTGCTTTTTTCATAATATTACACGTTTTACAAAGACGATCTTCTAACGCGATATTCTCGTTACGTCCGTTTTCTATAAATAAATTTCTATAAAATAACATGTGCTAAGTTCTTGATTTGAGATAATTATACAGTAAGAATGGAGGCGTAGCGAATTATTTATGTCTGAGTACTAGCTTTGATAAAATGTATGCTCGGCTATTTTCGTTAAGCTTAGGATTATTATATTAATCGGATTTAAACGATTTGTTATTAGACTTTTTGAAAAATAAAGTAAGGACGTTGACTCTAGGACAGGGACGAATTTAGGACGGTCGACGATCACTCAATTTCTACCATAAGTAACTGTCCCGATAATTTTAATTCACGTAAACAAAGCGCTTTTTTTAGCCACACACAAATAAATCTGACTGTCGAGAAGTGAAATATTAGAAGATTTTCGCTAAATTATTAACTTCAGTGTTAAATAACAGGTTTACCACCAACAAAAATATCTCTAAATTAATAAGGACTACAAACCCTAATGGAAATTCTAATTTAAGAATGATTCGGTTCGTTTCAGACTTATTTCTTATAACTTCCCCGAGGTCCAGGGGTTACAAACTCGTTTAGGAAGCGAGAGGTCTGTGGTTCAAATCCAAGTCAAGGCAACTTTTTTAAGTGTCTTTTTAGCGATTTTAACGTTCTTTCTTAAGGAATTAGCCATGATATGCAAGGACAAAGTGTGGCTGTCATAACAAATGTACATTAATAATTTCATAATGCAAGTTAGAAACTCTGGTCTTGCAAAATTCCGTATGTATCAAACTCAAACTGTTATAGCAAAAAATCTAAACGCAGTCGCTGCAAATAGGTACCCTATAAGATGAATTAAAGTATATCAAAATAAACTTATACAGGAAAATACATACATATATATACAGTACGGATCAGGAAATACCGCAGAGCATGCACCCTTTTGATTTGTTTAATTGGTAACTCGATATCATTAAAGATAGTAAACAGTCTATAAAATACACGAGAAGCATGCTGTGCAATCGATTTTGACTGCGGTACCAGGTTCCATTTTTCAATAATGTGATACCTAAATATTTAAATGACTTACCAACTTTTAAGTGTGTATCTTCAATGTAAAAGTTATGTTGAGAGTGACGACATCTTTCAAATATTAATATTTAAGTTTTTGTAGTATAAATTGTTAGACCCCACTTCCTATACAATACATTACAAGATCATTAATCATAGACCGTAACGCTTCCGGGAATGTAGCATAAAGTACTTGGTCATTAGCATACAATAATAAAACGTATTTTACTTCTTTGATTCTTGATATCATTAATATTTGTATTAATATTTTGTGTGACGTTATTTGCGAAGTACATAAATAGCACAGGGTAACTCGGGTCCCCTTGTTTTCATCCAATGTATGTCTGATGATTCTGAATTGAACTTTACACAAGACACATTGCTTTTACGGCCTGTACAAATTCAACTTTTTTTCCGTTACAAGTTTTTGACATAAGTATGTTTAATTAATTCCATCAAAACATATAATCAATAAAACAGCAGTAAAGTTTTTCCCCAAGTCTAAAAAACTTTACTTAATACAGAATTTAGGAGAAAATACAATCAATTATTGACACCCTTTGGAATACGAATTGATTTTTGTCAAGTTTATCTTATTTATTGGTTATTTATTGGAGCATTGAGTTAATCTGCTCAAATGCAACTGACAGTAAATTTTTGCAAGTACATTAATAAGACATATGCCTCGATAATTCTTAGCATCATTTACGTCCCCTGTTTTAAAGATAGGTGTAACTATTCCTAAACCCAAAGAACTAGGATATTCACCATTGTTAAATAATCTATTATACATTTTCAATAATAGAGATGAAATTAAATCATAGCTCGATTTGGAAGGTTATCTAAAAATAACTGTGGATCTAAGTTCTTGTTCTGTAAAATTACCATCTAGGTCAGTGTCGGGCTGGCCGTTCTGCGGAATATAGTCGTCATGTTCACTACTCTGCGGATCCTTACCAAACATGCATTTAAACAAACTATCGAGATTAAGATTATCAGCCTTTAATGGTGCCTTTTTAAAAAAGATTTTCAAATGTTTTTCCAAAATTGTCTAGGTTGAGATTTACCTACATTGCTAAATTTCTGTCCCACATATTAAATGTTTTGTGCTTCACTTTATTAGAAGAACAATACCCTGTTTTCATTTGTTTCATTTGTTTTATTAATTAAGATCAAAAATATAATGTGCGCGTTTAAACTCATTTTTTTGCCGAAAAGAAGTTAGCAACCAATCTTTACTTGTTTTTCTAAAGTGTATGGTTACATGTTTTGTGTAAGATTTATCGAAGATTTTATGCGCACTATCAGCCATTTATGTGGTTCGTGAGATGCGCGTTCGATAATGTGATTAATAGTGACCTATGCACGAAAAATATGTTGTTTTTTTGTCATTCGATACTATTTTAGAGGTCAAGGGAGCTGTGTTAAACGATGAATTCGTGCAGGTGCTATCATTGTCGTCTGCTAAACGTAGCGAAAATTTAAACTCCATAGCAGCATGAGCTCATATACTGAACTGCGACACAGTTTCAAAGTCTAAAAAGTTTAATAGTAAATTATTTTCGGTGAGAACAAAAGTAAATTTTCCTGGTTAGTTATTTAACCGGCCATTTGCAATTTGTAACCCAGTAGATAGTCATAGATCTATAAGTCGCCTATCATTGTGGTCAATAGCTGTATCTTTGTTTACTCGAGGTGGAATAGATACGTTTGTATTTAATACATCTAAGATTTGATCTAAATATTTACCAAAAACAATGACATCCTCTACTATTTAGGTCCCCGTTTGGTTTCCCTTATATGGTAAAAGTCCGTGCACACATCCACGTTGTCATTCAATGGCGAATATTCGCAGTGCTTTTGTTGTTCAATTTTACATTTATGTCCGGATTGGTTAAACAAATATCCTCTTCTGACATTAGCACATGTATTCTCCACAAATTTTGATTAAAACGAGTAATTAAATGCTTTTTCAATCCATTTTTGAGAGAACGGAAAAACATGTTTAAAACCGTGATAGCAAAATATCTTGCGCATTAACCCTATATAATTATTGAATAAATATTTTCATTCACTATTTCACGACATGCTATTTTTTTTTAATTCACAACTAGTATTGGCATGACGCGCGATATTTCAACAATGTGTACGTCAAAACGGAGGAAAATTATTTTATGTAAAATCGAAGTATACGAGTATGTAGCAAAGATAAAAGGAAGATATCAGTATAAAGGCATACACTAGTGAACATTATAAAATTTAAATGAAGAACAGGATGTTTTACGGATAAAAAGTCGCAATTCTGCCGCCGCCTATAGGGGGTTCATAGACATCATACTAACGCTCCTTGTTTACAGAATAAAGCTTAAATATGTACATGTTTGCATAGCCACATAAAATAATAGTTTCATGGGCATGAAATGCCATGGTTTTGTCGAAAAAGAAATTTTCATGTTGTTTTTTTTTTAACTGTGGAATGTCCTGTTTTGCAAAACAAAATAAAAATGCAAATAATTATGTGCAAAGTAACCTTACAGCAGACGAAACAAGATATCATTGGATAATATTTTATGAACATTCCACGAAAAGCATGAAAATTAGTGATCTAAATTATTTTGCAGTAATTTCTCTTCAACCTGTATAATAAATTATGATTTATTATTTTTAAATTTTTATGCATTGAACATTTTTAAAGTAGCTCCTTCTTAAAAACATAAAATTTGAAAATTTTACATATATCAACAGGGACACTTAAAATGGAAATATATGTAAAAATATACTCAGTCTTATACAGAAAATTGATTGATTAAATATGTACATGTTTGCATAGCCACATAAAATAATAGTTTCATGGGCATGAAATGCCATGGTTTTGTCGAAAAAGAAATTTTCATGTTTTTTTTTTTTAACTGTGGAATGTCCTGTTTTGCAAAACAAAATAAAAATGCAAATAAGGTTGTGCAAAGTAACCTTACAGCAGACGAAACAATATATCATTGGATAATATTTTATGAACATTCCACGAAAAGCATGAAAATTAGTGATCTAAATGATTTTGCAGTAATTTCTCTTCAACCTGTATAATAAATTATTTCTTTAATTTAAAGTATGATTTATTATTTTTAAATTTTTATGCACTGAACATTTTTAAAGTAGCTCCTTCTTAAAAACATAAAATTTGAAAATTTTACATATATCAACAGGGACACTTAAAATGGAAATATATGTAAAAATATACTCAGTCTTATACAGAAAATTGATTTTTAGAGCAATTTTCAGACCGACTTGAGTTTAAATTTTTCATATTTAAAAATGTTGTTCAATAAATGTGATAACAATTGAAAAAGGTAGAGAACATCTTTTAACGATTTGAAATTTTGTACATAATATTGGTATAGACCTAAATCAAATGGTTTAAATATTTTGAAAAAAAAGTTTTGACCCAGTCATGTCAAGTTATACCTCAGATGAGCCCCCTTAATAAGTACTGTCATCTTAGAATAAATATTTTGATAGAATACCTTTAATTTCAGCTATTTCTGAAGATGTATTTTGTCTAAGTTCTTTAAGTTCTTCTTTTAGGTCCTCGAGAACATTCTTCTGTTTGTCAAATTCTGTTCGAAGTGCACGCAGACGTACCATTAAAGCATTCAGATCGTTTTCTCTACAGTTATCATTGTTTGCAAGCAACACATTCAAGTTACCAATGATAACCAGTATAGAGAGAAGAAATTTCATTTTTCAATAAAATTTGATTTAAAATATCCGCATATAATCAACAACGTCCGTTTATAAACTATTATTACGTTGGAGTTTAAATTTGTCCCTGTTTACCAAACAGTCTGAAATGTTTTAACTGAATAAAAATATATTTTGTTTACGGTACAGGTAATCAGTTTTTCCTCGTATCGCTACACAATATTTATCGTATACATAATAAAGACAGCCCACATCATATTATACTAAGTTTTATCAGAAGTTCTGTATCAATCGCAACTTTTCGGCCCTTTCCGTCAGTCTTCGGTTAAGGACCTCGAACACAATAGTGTGGATATTCAGAACGGATGCGGTATTTCGGTCTAACCTACGCTAAAAAACTAAACATGTAAACAAAAAGTAATTTAATGCTGGGAGTTGTTGACATTTTTATTTCCAATATATGTAGTAAAAGTCCACAAAAAATAAGTTAATTCATAGGTACAAAAGCAAACAATACATTATTTATATCTTTATTAATATGGTTGTAGAAACCGATAGCACAAAAAAACCAACTATTGACATTAAGTCGGATTCGTTTAAAATTGAACATCAATGGGCATATTTAAATTACATTTCTAAGCTTCTCAATTCCTCCATCATACTATCCAGATTCGAGTCCTCGGTATCAGCAGACGCTTGCTCCTTACAAGCTGATATCCCACAGGGCTTTTACTCTTCCAATAAACCAGCAGAAGCAGTCGGCAATTTGTATACCTCTTCTCCATTGTCATCCGAAATCAACGGTTCTCCTTGGATCATTTTTTTATAGTCTACGCGACTTTTTTTTCCTATCATTAGTCCTTAAAGACATTTTATTCCAACTAAAATGGAATAATAAACCCAGCAAGGGTCTATATCCCTTGAAATTATTGTTCTATTATTAATGGGGTACATGTATTGTTCCTGAATTAAAATGGCTAGAGATAAGGTTTACTAAGTAATGGGGTGCAGAAATGGTTCTTAGACAAGGGTTTAAGATAACATAATGGTTCTTTAAGTAATGGGTTACAGGTGTGGTTCTTGAATTAGAAATGTTAAAGATAAGGTTCTTTAATAAATGGTCCCTTTAATTAAAGAAGTGAAAGATAAACGTATGTTTTTTTAATTAAGGGGGTACTGGAATGCTTCAAGAATTAGAATGATTAAAGATATGGTTCTTTAAAAAAAGGTACAGGTAGAGCAGGTTAAAAATGTAATACTTGAATAAATGGGGTACAGGAATGGTTCCTGAACAAGACGTGTTAATGCTATGGTTCTTTAATAAATTGGGTACATGAATGGTTCCTGAACTATAGGGGTTACAGGTATGGATCTTTATTTAATGGGATACAGGTAGGGTTCTTTAATTAGAGGGTTTACAGTACAAATGATGTTGAGATCAGGAAGTTTTAAAATGTAATATATTATGACACTGCTATTCATTACTACAATGAATCATAAAAATTGAGGAAAGATTTGATATAATTAATAGATATGTAAATGAATACTTGTGAGAACATTTTCCTGCTTTCAAATCCTGTATTCATATTTTTGATAATGATATTTAATATAGAAATTTTGCACTGCTGAAATGCATAATTTACAGTTAAAAAGAAAAAGAAAATAAATCTATTTGGTCTAACACGGCTTGTACTTAAGTTTTCATTTTGATTTCAGAACAAAGTAGTTTTAAGAAAAATAAAACTTTAAATTTATTTCATTTTTTGAAAACACCAGGAATCATAGAAATCTGAAAACAAAGTGATCCCCCGGAAGCATTAATCTCAACAAAATAACATGAAAATTACAGACTGGGTTTGATTGAGTCTGTACATGAGGGATTATGAATACGTGCAACATCCCACACGCCCCCTAGCACCGGCTTGAGCGGTACTCAATTCTTAACACTTAATAGTGCTGGCATCATTGATCACGAAGGACCAGAAAAAGAAAACAACACTTAAGTGAAGTATGGGGCAAGTATAGCTGTCTTTAAAAATACTCAAATACATTTGTTCAAACCAAAGCTTATTTTTTGTTTGTTTTGTTACAGTTTCTTAAAAAAAACTTATTTGCCATATAACTGAACCAAAGTTTAAATGATAAATTATTTTATATAAGAACAAAATGCCACTTTAATTTGATATTTCCAGTGCCGGCATCAAAATAGTGTTTAATCTGAGGAGGAGGGAAGGAGGTCTTTTTCGAAGACAAAATCAAATCAAATAGGTGAAGTTCTGAATGTAACTTTTAAATGATATGTTCAGTTTTGGTATAGTATTGTTGCCAGGAGAATGTGCCGCAATGGCTGCCTATATTGCGGAAGAAAAGAGAATATCTAGAAAAAAGTGAGATCGGCCTTACACCAGATGTAATCATTCATTTGATGACCAGGGCTTTGTCTTGAGTGAAAGCAGGTATATTGATATTTTTGTTTTTCTTCAGCATAACTATAATAATTTTTATGACGAAAATCAGCAAGGAATTGTACCATTATTTATTAAGGTCATTTTAACTGCAATATAATCGGAACATATTTATAGGAAAACATTTCTTTTATTTTTCTCCGTAATCCATGAAATGAAACATAAATGAGCCTCAATATTTGAGCCGCGTCATGACAAAACCAACATAATGCGTTTGCGACCAGCACGGATCCGGACCAGCCTGCGCATCCGCATAGTCTGATCAGTATCCATGCTGTTCGCTATCAGTTTTGCTTCTTGATATAGGGTTGGTAAGCGAACAGCATGGATCCTGATCAGACTGCTCGGATGCGCAGGCTGGTCTGGATCCATGCTGGTCGCAAACGCACTATGTTGGTTTTGTCATGACGCGGCTCATATTTGTCTTAGATCGCTAAAGTATTCTATTCTTGAAATATCTTTTATAATAATCTTTAAAAAATGATTTAATATATGTTATAAATGATACACAAGAGGAACAAACAATTGCAAATGATGACTGAATACCTTTTATTTTATCCTTAGTTTAAAATTTTAACAAGGTCTTTATTAGATACAAAATGTGAAAGAAAAGTCACTGATGTACATAAAAAAAGCTTTGTATTTTTTCACATCATTTTTTTCTCTCTAAGATCATGATATAAAATCTGTATTTTATTGTTCTCAGCAACAAAATATATGGATGGAAATACATTCATCATAAATTACAATGTTCATGTAGTTGATTTTCTTTATATCCATGAAGAGTTATGAAGACTCTATGTACATGTATAATGGACGATTTATACATGGTTAGTCAAACATGCATGCCAGGGAAGGTCCCACGATAATGTAAGAACTTTTGGCCCAACACTTTTGGTACACTTAAATATGTTTATAAAATTGTGAAATTGTATATTGTGTGTATATTTATACGAAACTAAACATGTATGTATTTGAAGCATGAAATCGTGTGTATAATAATTATGCACTAAAATATATGGAGAATAATCATGTTTTTGTTTTTGATAACTGTATCGACTGGTATGGAAATAAATATTTCGTGAGTGGCGGTTGCCATGAGTAAAATATAATAATTGCCATATCACAAGATGAAAATACATCCTGTATTTATAACAGAAATTGAATTTTCTGTTTATGATTTTCCACCTTACAGTTATTACGAGTTCTTTCTTACTTTCGTATACTGGCTAAATTAAGGCAAGACACCATTAAAAATACCAAAATATGATTTACTGAAGTGCAGTTGTTTTACATTGAAAAAATACATATTATGTTTTATAAATATTTCTCAGTATTTGTTTTAAAAGTATATAATAAAGATATATATGTAATGGAATAAAATTAAAAGGGTTAAGATTTAATGGGAAAAGACCATAAACACTACATTTTCAGAGTATTTTCGTATTAGATTCATGACATTGAAAGAAGAAGACATTTGATTAAGAAGAGATTATGTGTACTTTTGCAAGAAAATAAAAATTTATCTTATACCAAGTTTTGGATTGCATCACAAAACTCATACTAAAAATCAAAATGTCTTTTTTATATCCAAATAATTACTTAATATGTTTATGCCTTTAAAATTTTAGTGATTTTACTGCATCATCTTTGTAAGCAAAAATTGTGGGAGCAAATCCAATATCTGCCTTCGATATACTGTACTGGACATTTTCACCTTGCTCGTTCAGTTGATGCATCCTGTCGAGTCCCGCAAGAAAGATGTAGCAGAGTTTATCAATAAAACAATCCCCATCTGTCCTTATTTCCTTGTATGCGAATATAACGTACCGGTCTGTTGCTACGGTCATGTATATCAAAATTCATATCACCTGTATTTGCAATGTGGTCTGGGTTTAAAAATAAGCTTTCTCTATAAACATGTTTTATAATTTCACCTCAAGAATTCGTGAGATGCATTTGTTACTGCTTTCCTGAGACATTTATAGCGGATAGACCCCCAAACCTGTAACTCATAATAGCTGATTATTTATATATAGTTTAAATTGTTTCAAGTCTTTTTTAAAATCAATATAATTTTAAAAGTTTCAATTTGTCGTTTTCGACATTATGCTTGAAACGAGACAAATACTTGGAGTTTGAGCGAATCTTAGAACTTGCTTGAAATCTCAAGTGTTTGTTGAACAGTTTGAGATTTTGTTCCCCTGATCAACAGCAAATAAGGCTCCATTTTGTCAGATAGCCACATTGGTTATAGTAAAGGCCAATTTATCGTCTAGAACTTTTACGTTGATCTTGCTCGTCGCCTTTTCAATTTTATCACTTTGGCGTCCATTCACGATTGACAAACTTGTTCATCTCAGGGGGTAGCTCATCAGCCACCTTCCATTTCACTGATTTTGTGGTTTAAATGGAGAAGACCCCATGAATAATCTTAAGTTTATTTTCCATAATATTACCTGAAAGATCGTATTATTCTATAATATTATTTAGTTAGCCATTTTTAACTGTGATTGTAAATTGTTATTCATTTCGTTTCCAAAATGGTACAATGTCAAGATAAATTAATGTTTTAATGAAAATTAAAACATTTAACTTCAATATCATTCCAGATAAGTAAAATACACAGGTCTTGATAGCATCAAACTGTACAATTTTTTTTAAGAAATGAAAAATGTTCAATGTAATGTACCTTTATAATCACAATTATACAGTGTTTGTAATAGATCTTTTTCAGAAAAACAATAGTTATTTCTATAGATAGTCAGA